AAACACCTTTGACATGTCTTACGAATTCTTCCCCTCGATAAAAACTCATTGCTGTTTTTCTTAGCGTGACAAGATGATCACTTCAACATTTTGTGCAAGCGATAAGAGATAACATACTATTTGGAACGTGTTATGTCGGCTTATGCATATAAGTTGTTGTTTATACATGATTGAAAAGAATAATGCACCGTTGTGACTCATACAAAACGTTCACACGTCTTATTACATGATTGTAGAAATCTAGTGACGGTGTTCATAATCCCTCAAGACTTGAGGTTTTGCACCGCCTAATCGTAAGAAAAATGGTCGACGTTATTGCGCTGGAGAAAGTGATAAGCAAATTGTAAGTCACGGGAAGGCGGTAATTCTCAACTCCAAATTCAGCCATTTCCTAACGGAGCGTGGCATGGCTCTCATTATATACGATTGTAACCTTTCGCAAACACATGTGCACATTAATTTAGTTCGTTTTTCGAAAGATTTGTTGTTACTTATTGTTGGACTAGTTCAATAAAGTCAACGCGTTGCTACTCGATGAATAACTACCGTAAATAACCGCCGACAAGTTAGCGATTCCGGTTATACCGAAAAATTCAGAGAATGTTTAAAGTAAATGGACACTCGTTTATTAAACAAATACCTTTCGAGCATACCATTCAATCTATTTTTAGCTACGCTTGCTGATCTATCGTATTAATCAAAATGCTACTAAAGCATCTGGCTGTCTTGAACGGCGCTCTTATTATTGTCACTTCTGGTGCTATGTTTAATATTTCGCGTGTGCTGTTTCATTGCATTGTAGCGGCGTTTACATCAACATTTGGTTATACGATCTTGTGACATCATCAGAGTTACGCAGAAGTTCGTTCATCTTTTACCTTCACACTCTCAAGCCAGATCAGGGTAGAGTAATTACCGAAAAGAGTAAAGTTGTGGCTAAGATATATTTTACTATGAAAATCACGGGTATCTCCACCAAAGCTATGACGTTCACGCTATCGACCGGGAGACCTGGAATGAAATTGGGCAAACGCTTAAAAAATGGAACATGCTCATGATTTCACTGTGAATTCGAATAATGAAAATCTCAAAATCCAAAACTTTTTTGGTTTTATTGTCACATACATATCGCATTTCCGAACTGGTAAATTGCAGAGATTAAATGCCTACCGATAACGAACGTATTTGCCGAAAAAACCATCATAATCATGATCTGCCAGAATCTGGGGCAAAGAATTCAATTCAAATGTCCCCTTTATGGTTAACACCAAAGCCACAACTATTTCGATTATCAATATATTCGAGAGATGACATAATTCACATTTGGAATGATTGGCTAATTTGGCAAGTATGTTAAAAAGCAGTACAATATCGCACTTTCCCTATACAAGGAGAATGCATAATAACTGTAGAGTAAAACAAATGCCATGCGTCAAGTCCCATAAGTTGCGTCACAGCTGTGTAATCATTAACGAGCGTTATTGTATAGAGATATTTCATATATTTAATATATGCTATAATCGGAAATCTCACCCCATATTCATATTAATATTATAACAATTATGCATGAGATCTGTTGCCATATCGGATTATTTACCAGTCGTTATTATATTTTCCTCTCTTGTTGCTTATCGTACAATCTCCTAATATTGCCCCCAATTGAAGATCCCATGTGACCAAATTATACCAACCTTTGTCGAAATGACTACATATAACCCCAACAGACAACATTCAGCCCCGCACATTCTACAATGGCGACCTACAAACAGAAATCTCACATAATACGCACACGACCTTCTCCCTCAAGCGACTCTGAAGAGTCTAGTTCAGAAGAATGGGTAGTGTTTAATGACAATAAATCGAGAAACTCGGCTTACAGGGCTTCGGCTCCTGTTACTCGCGCAACTACAATACCATTATACAACACAACAAGCAGTGACGATGAATGGCACGTGTTGAGCGATAGTACGAGCCCGGTAGACGAGAGTAATCCTACACTGGATGCATATTCTGATAGCAACGGTGGACTTAGTGGTTTCGAGTCGGAAATAGACGTTGTGCACGACGAGTCAGAGTTCTACACAGAGTCTTCAGGTGCAGAAGATGTGGTTTGCAGTTTTCACGGACAGCTGCCTTTACACGATGGAGCTGGAAATTTTTGCGATACTATTGAAGAGTATGGCGACGGAATGGATAGTCACATAGTGTATAGTAATGAAGGAAACTCTTCGATAATCACAGAAACGGAATCAGACATATCCAATCTGGAGCACACGGCAGTTGATTCTACCCAGACTCACACACAACGATCCTCCTCCACATCACATGCTGCATCTGCAAACACGGATAATCGCAACGCCAACAAAACAAGGAAGCGAGATTCGTGGAAATACTTGTTAAAGAATGTATTCAAGTTGGAGGATCCGGTCAAATCGAGTAGCAATTCACAAGGAGAAAGTGGTCGCGACGATTTGGAAAAGGTGAAGTTTGGTGAAGGGAAACGGGTGATGAGATTCGTTAATGTTCAGTATACGTTAGCAATACTTTGAATCGGACACAATTAATACTAATCTCACTAACAATTTACTTTATTAAATAGACAAATTCGACTTACATACCTGATTGTATTCAATCATCCTCATCCACATCATCTCATCCAACGACACCTCATCACGAAACATCATCCAGCATACGAGATACAGCATCAGACAGTGTAAATAGTCGAATATTCTCTTCTGGGCGACCTAATAATGATCGATCGAACTCATCTGGCAGTCGTGGGACTCCGGAAAGGCGAACACCAATATTTAACAGATTTGGTGATTTAAGTACGTTATCGAGGGATTCCAATATACAGAACGAGAATGCTGTTGATTCTGCGGTTGGAAGTGAGAACGGGTAAGTTTAGGAAACGGGGTTCTGTGTCACATATATGTCATTAGGAAAGGCGATGGTCTTGGATGAGTTATGCCTACAAATTTACCGCCTCCAGTTAATTTCGACACACTTTATGCTTACAAATTCTTGTCTCTTTTACAACAGCTTTCAAAACCAAGACGATGCATCATCAATTCTCTCAACTGTATGGTCCACAGTTCGCCGCCTCACCTCTAGCATAATCACTCCCGAGTCAGACATTGACTTTACTAATACGGGCTCATTCGCCACGCCATCATCATCTTCCGCTACATCCACGTATCCTCACTTTACTGCGAGTGGCCTAGCGTCGATAGTGAGCGGAACAGGAGAAAACCAATACACTTACGATGGGTGTTATTTGCCTTTTGGTAATCATTTGACTTTGTCAGAATTAGGCGGCCTTTCAAGGAACGATCGGGATGAAATGATAAGGAGGACCGAGGGTGTTAGATATGGAGGATATGGGGGATATAGGGGAGCAGTACGTACTCCGGCCAACACTGCGGTGGGAAGGAGTAAAAAACGAAGTTTAGTTGACAAAAGCGAGACTTGTACCAAAAGACTGCTCACACCCGTTTCCAGTTCGACCAGTTTGGCGAGTTTTGTCAGTCGTTCTGGAAGCGAATGTGGAATGGAGAGTGTAGGAATAAGAGGTACGGGAATGGAATGTGGTTCATGGGAGCAAGAGTGCATGTGATTTTTTATAGAGTACTTGGCAGCGCAAAAGGATAGAAAGTGTTTAATGATAGAGAATTTGGGTTAATTTGTTTTTGCCTAATATTTATGGAATGCGAATCAGCTAAATTTCGCTTTATATATAATATGGATGCCATCATTATGGCCATTCTATGTTTGTGACTACATATTTTCCTACGATTATGTGGAAATTAAGCAACAATAAACACGCCTCAATGCATTCACGCAAATGACTGGTCGGTTGGCAGAAATGACGTCTTTTTTTTTTTCACGGTTTTAGGTTAATACTCGTGGTTTACGTCTACGCACATGTTTACGTAGCTCCTAGTTTCTCGTAATTTAAACTAACCATATCAGTATTATCAACCATGTACCTCAAATAGACGTGAGCATATCTTACTAATCACGAGCAGTAACAAAACTGTGAGCAATTGTATTAAACTTTTATGAAAATTATGTCAATTGCATAACCAGATACGTCGCCTATCTCCCTAACTCCTGATAGGTAAGGGTGAGAAATGTTGCTTGCTTAGTCAAATCTCTTGTAGGTAAGAGCATGCAATATTCCATAATTATATGGTCCTATTCATTTCTATCGCGAGGAACTTTTATTCACAACGAGGTGCTCGCTAAAGCCCAGTTTAAACTGTTTTTATCTTTTACATTGGGCCCTATCCATTTCATACTTCCATCCATGTGACATCTCTGGTCACACACGCGTCATAATACACACACGACAACAGTATGCGCGCCCGTAATATAAAACACGCACGTCCGAGCAAACCACCGCCATGACTAATTTATTTTTTGAAAAATACAGCATCGACTCTGAAGAAAAAAAAGAAAACAATTATACTCCGGCTAGTTCTCTCTTTCTTTTTTTCAATACTTAATTCACTGCATTGCGTACTGTGACTGGCAGACGAGCCGTCACTTTAACGCAGTTCGAGCCTATTACCATCTGGTAAAGGCGTTCAAGCAATACACTCGAACGCACATCAACACTTATACGACAACTAGACTATAAAAAGTTTGCTTGAAATTAAGACAGATTTGGTCGTCACGAGAAACTTTATTCACAAACACAACACCATCGCAAAGAGGATTATTCATATGGATAGAAGATAATGATAACGATAAAAACGAACTTACTTCACCTTCACGTCGACACAAAACAAGATAAAGAGCAAGATGTGGTTTTAATTGATGACAGTGTTGAAACAGGTGAAAATATTGTAATTGCGATGACGAAATGGGAAATCCAAGGATTCACCATGCGTCAGCTTGCAACTCCACCCTCTTACATAGGGTCGAGAGTTCTCATTGTGTGAACGAGCTGAATCAAAGCTGGAAAAAAATTGGTCACTACACTCAAAGTTCAAAAACGCTAAAGGATATGCATCATATCATCAATGCTGGGGCACAATGAACTATAATACACACGGCACGCGGCACACGGCAACCCGTCATATTATAATACACACGGCACGGCACCATCATGCAATATGTAAAGGTATTTGTGCTAAGATTTCACTTTTTCCTTCAATCAATAATAACTTGTTGTCGTTAAGTTTTTCTCCCTTTTCTTGATCCCGATTGAATAATTTTTCGCAGTCAATAAGAACACGACGCACCTCACTCTTTTTTTCTTTAGTTAACTTTGCTCATAACTGTTTTCAAATTGTCGTGGTTTGGACGGGCTTTGAGATATTACGATCGAATTCTGGTTTTACACCCGGATATTATCTTTAAATCAAAGATTTAATAGTGTATAGTAATAGTAATAGATACATTAAGATTCACAATAATAATAATAATTTGCCGCTGTAATACGGGGTTTCATACTTTTGATATTGGAGGAAAGGGACATCGACAGTCGTCCCACAGACAACAGCAAGTATCAGCCTGTACGCATACAACATAAGGCGATGCATCGGGAACGATGGGGACAATTAATTTGTTTTGTTAATGTTTGATTGATTCTTATGTTGCGTATGTATACTAATATTACTTATAGATATTCCAGGAGGGTCACCCATCCCTATAAAGGTCTACATGTTATTAAATTCTGAACAAACTATCTATAAATTTATCGATAGTATATTTCTACACCAACGAAAGCTTTTCGAATAATAAATGTCGTATCATGTGTATTCGCACCTGGAGCAGCGGCCCCTCGGAATAGAAATCACGTTCGCGACAAAACAGTGCTTTTGAACATTACTTCAAAAAATTATAGTCCGAGTGAACGGGGGATGGAAGAAGGATAAGATTATTAAAAGGAAATATATGGAGTTAGAAATTCCGTTGGGGTGATTTAAAGAAAGGAAGAATAATTGGTTTTGTAGCAAATAAGTAGTTAAAAGTAAATTATGAAAGTTGGTAGTTCTATTAAAATATAGTTGTAAAGTAATTATTAGCGTTATATTTATTGTTATTGTCGGGTAAACCCTAAGCATAAACAGCGGCAAGGATAATTTGCGTATCCCATTTTCCTGATAATTTTTTTTGTGTTCGTTGTCCGCAACACAATTTTATTTTTCTTCGAGTTTGAAACCTAAATCAAATACATTCGTGTTGCATATAATAGCTTATGTCGATTATGTCAATTATGTCAATTAATATTATTTGTATCGGTGACAGGTAATATCTGATTTGCATAATACCGGGTCTTTTACAAATAAACTGCTGCAGGGTAACTATACACGAGGATACTTTATTCAGCGGTCTACAGTAATACCCCTTACATTATGATGCAATGCATTTTATTGAGATTGAAAACAGTACCAATAACTTACGTGCCAAAGGAGATTAACCGAATATGCTTACAAAGACTAATGAAATAGATTCCGCGACAGTCAACATGTCTGTTTTTATACCGCTGAACACTCACTTTCGATTAAGCTTATAAATAGGAATCTCTCAATCATATTGATCATATATGAACTGCTCTCGTTCGTTATTCGATCATCATGAACTCAGTAATGTCTTTTATTGTTCCTTTTCAGACAATTTGGTAAATGCGCCAGCCGCAAGACACAAATTTCGTCGTGTAAATTTTACTTTGTATACTGGTGTACGTTTTGTTGGAAAGGTTGCCAACATTTCGTCACTAAGGAAAAAGAAAGCATATGATAATGTGAAATATTGTATAAATAAACATGGATTATATTGACTATAGATATAACTGACCTTTTGACGCGAGCAGATTCTGAATTTCGTGCCTGTCCAACACCCGTAGTACCATTCTCCATGTTCGTTGTCGATGTATTATAATCTGATTGATCCGATAGGCATGCATTGACGTCCCACACACGAACAGTCTGATCCGCACCTCCCGATACGAGAAGATTTCCGCCTCTGCTAAACTCTAAAGTGTAGACGATGTCTGTGTGTCCAGTCAATTTCCGAAGCGTTTTTCCAGTTCTAAGATCTCTCAAAATAACCTTTTTATCTTCCCCTAGAAATAATGGACGAGTTTAGGGTAGAGTTATTTAAAGGAGATGAAAGCTGGTATGAATTATACCTGCAGATGCCATAATATGTCCATTGTCAGAAACGGCTAAACTCTGCACGGCTCCAGCGTGACCGGACATAATGCGTACACATCGACCGGTTTGAATGTCCCACATGCGTACCATTCTGTCGCTCGATCCAGTAAGAACGTACCGAGAGTTGGGATGAAATTTAACGCACTACGCAAAAATATTAAGATTTTTAGTTTTACAACCAGATTCGCTCGAGCATTTCTCATAATAGCAACTTACATCAACGTCTGACAAATGACCGGCAAATATGCGCAGTGGATATATATGGTCACAACTCCACAATCTCGCTGTTCTATCATAGGATGCAGTCGCAAAGTAAAAACCATAAGGTCCAAAATCAACATCCCAAATGGGATAATTGTGACCTTTATAACATACTAAATTTGTAAAAGTATCTACACTCCATAGCCGCGCTTAGGGAGAAAAAGTGGCAAATACAAATGGATTAAGAAATATCATTAGCTACATTCAGTTATTGTACGATACAAGTTCAATTAAAATACCTGTTTTATCTTCTGAACAAGTAACTAGATATCTATTATCCGGACTAAAGCTTAAACCAAACACAGGACCAGAATGTCCTACAAGTCTTTTACATTCACTTCCGTGTTGTTCGCGCAACCTCTCAAGATCGCTCACTGGCAGTCGTAAAAAGCATAAATATTAAAGATATAAACGCGGCTAATATTTTTGTAGGCATTTCCATAAACTCACCTTCAGACACAAATGTGGGCCTCACGTTGTTCATAAAAGCCTTTAGTTTCTCGCCCTTTAAACTCCATATCTTTATGTACGATTCGGAAAACCCACCGGCTATTAACGTGGCATCATCTGATATTGATATACAATTAAGACTGTGATTGAAGAGGTCAAAGAGAACAAGATCATTTTTAGGTTGTTAAAACAACATCTATATAATCATAATATTAAAAAGACTTACCTATCATATGTATTATGAAATGTATAAAAACATATCGACGGCAGTGTGGATGCTCCGAGTTTTATTCGATGTCTAAGCTCAAACAGTTCTTCTATTTTTGCTTGTATATCACTACCTTTACTGAACAACTGTCAGACGCGGGTGTTTGATAGATATCTTTGTTCGACAAAAGATTAAGTATTTAACGTACGATGGTGGGAGTGGTACATCATTTCTATCCGGTGCTTCTATTGAGTCTTTGAAGTCCTTGGTTATATCCTCGAGCAATGTTGATAAATCATCATCTCCTAATGACTACAGTATGACGAACGAACAGAATGCTTAAATATTGTTGATAAGACCGTGTCAATAATAACCCATCAAATAATGAACACCTTACCTGGGGATCCATACTGTTTAATTGCGTGTCTTTCACTTTCAACACCTGTTCCGCTTCCTCCATAAATGTAGGTTCCGGTGGTAACGGACCAAGAAAGACCTTCTGCTTATTAAAGTCATCAAGCCCACGCGCAGAATATCCAGTGACCCCAGTCACATCCGCAATGTCAGACATCATCAATGTCTGTTGATGATTAACAGTTTCTTTGAATTATAGAGATGACATTTAGCCAAATAGTAAAACATAAGTTACATATTTTCCAACATACCTTCGATCTCCAAATACTGATTAACAATACGCAATATTATATAAAGTTTATTTTCCTGGAGAAAGTTCAACAGCAATTTGGTAGACACATTGGACAGCCGCACATTATATTTTTGGCTCCTTAACGTAATCGCGAATTCATTTTCTTGAAGATGCTGGGCATGTGTTATGATACTCAGTTTTCGGATGTTATCTCCGTAGTATTCGTAATGATCGCTTTTGAATTCTTCCATGAAATTCATTGCTAGAGAATCAAAGAATCTCTTGTCAGAGACAGCTAGAGACGACAATAACAATCTTTTATCTTAAAACATACCTTTATCGAGAAACCCTTTAAAGACGAGATCAAGATATATGTGCGCAAATACAGGAAACATAACCAGTCTTAATTCTAGCTGTGAGTGAGAGCCAAATCAAAACGTCAAACTTTGCGAATTGAACCTCAAAATACTAAATCCTACACAAACTTTTTTACCTTGTATATATCCATAGATCTCTCTATCAACTTTCTAAGATCAGCGTATGAAGATATGTAGCTATCGGGATTATTTGAATCGGGGTCAGTTGGGAAGAACTGATACCCTGACACTGCATTCATGTCACCCATGGAATAGTCTTCTCCGGCATGTGCGCGTATTTCATTACGAAACATGAGCTCAGTATGTTTGTAACCCTTCTGGGTAAGATAGTTAAGAACTATCTTATCCAGCTCCTTGTCGGGAAGGTGTCGTGGCTGTTCGGCAGACATGATGTGAGGGTGGTGAAGTTGTGTTATAGTTAGCGGTCGAGTAATTTTAATTTAAAGATATTTCCCATTTCGGGTCGTATGATCTGCATGATTGAAGATCATGTGATAGTGAGAAATGATCTAATCACCAAATTAAAATAATAAACTCTCAACTCATCTTTCAGAAAATACTTTATTAGGAATCGCATGTCATGGTAAGTTAGTAACATCTATCCACACAAATATATGCCATAACCACTAGATTCGATCTCTTTGAGCTCAAAACAGGGGTAGGACCGGTTAATAAGTGCGCAAACTGGTTTGAATTTCTTTCGAAATTTTGCAACCGAATGTATCCGGGTCAATTCGCGTGGAATTAATCTGAATTGAACCGAATTAAACCGTGGCCTGAAATAAATTCGGTTTGGGCCGGTTTTCAGTTTTAATCCCAATCGAGTATTGGTATCTGATTTAAACCGGGTTTAAAATAATGCTGGTTTTGTTCGAGTTGTCGGTTTTATTCCAACTGTATCTATTAAGGATTAGATTTTTCATTTATACCAAACACATTGTCTTCAGTATACATGTATTATGTACCAATTCAAGCAGAGTAATAATCACGATCTTGGGAAAATAGCGAGGCGAGGAAGAAAACAAACATCGACAATTTTAGACGCTAGATTGCCTATATTCAAAGATGAGGAAGTGAAAATTAAAAAACAAGAATTGTTCCGAACGTATTTGCTCGAGCAAGAGTTGTCAATGTTGAGGATTTGTTAGCAATGGCCGCACACTTTATTAAAGAAATAGCCAAAATTTTCACAAAAAATTGTCATCCTGGAAATGCTTCTTTACATTCGTAATCGGTACAATTTTCTGCCCATTCGCCTCACACAGTCCTAATTTTATTTTTTTTTATCTCGAACAAAAAACTACTGAAGGAAAAAGCATTTGATAAGGTCCTCATTTTAATGTCTCTTATGCACGACAACTCCCTTTCTATAACTTTAATAATGTGTGACGTTATCAAACATGGCTAAAAGGTTATTTTTTTAGTGTGGGATTTTTCATTCTTTGAAATAATGTATCATGTTCAGATTTGTTATTGGATAAATATCTTCTTTACATACGCTCTCTGCCCTGTCCTTGTTTCTTATTCTTCTTTCGATGGAATTTTTGGTGGCTCGGACGGTTTAGATAATGAGATTAGCCCACCCCAGTTTAGCGGGACACTCTTCTCATGTTGCGTTTTGTTATATAAACTCTTCTTTAATTGAAAATTATTTACGTATAAAAATGTTAGCAAAAAGTACACAGTGGAAGTCGAATAACGGACCATCGATATAACAAACACTCATTATAACAGACTTTTTCTCTCGAACGAAATTTTTAAGCGCTGTATGAAATATAAAAATTCGATATAACAGATCCGCCAATATAACGGACAAAAGTGTGAAAAAATATGGGTTTGACTAGTCCGTTATATCAACTTTTACTGTAATTCTGGTGATAGAACTTGCACTCTAATTGGAATTACTGACCTATAACTGCGTTTCTTGTTAATATCAAACCTCCAGGATTTGCTTGTTTGCATAAACAAGGTTTCTACATTGTGTAACGAAAATAATGGCCTTTAGTTTTTTGCAAATAAACAAGACAATGCGTTGCTTATCATAAAAGCGTCTTTATTTTCAATCAGTTACCGTTCCGGTGAATAAGATATAAATTTCAGTAACGACTCGTTGTTTGCTCTCCCGTCTTTTTGCAATCATGATTAATTCTTAGGCTAGGGC